ACATTATTAGCTTCTCTTTTAGTTTCATATGAGATGTTTGTTCTCTTCAGTGTCTAGACAATGCTACAAACAATGACAATATTCAACACAACGCTGTTGTTAGTTTACTCGTTAAGGATGAAATGGTCCGGCTTTAATTCCACTTTGAAAGGGCAAGAAGAGTATATTGCTGGTAGTACGATAGAATGTTTGAATCTGGTGATCAATGCAGTTGGTAATGCTCCAACTGAGAATGATTATGACAACAGTTGATCATGGATAGATGGTGATAAGAAGCTAGAGTTTTAACTTTGCATGCGCAGACTATTGCAAATTGTTTGTACAGTTTTAAAAAAGTTTGACAAAAAAAGAAATGAAACCTGGATGATCCGAAAATCAACTCGCTTTAACTGGATCATAATTTGGAATTTTGGATTATACATTCATGCTTTTCTTTGCTTTATGATTCTCTGTAAACTCTGAATGACCAAACTCATCTCTAGTTTGGTACCACATTCACCGCTCTTATAACTTCATGCATGATCTCTTCTACATAGATGTATGAACGAAGAATGTTTGGTGGATTTGGTAACCGTCCATTGGAACATGCTATAAAACAAACCTAGCTACTAGCTAGTTTGAGACTGATTTTGGTGGGCTAATGGATTTGTTAGATCTTTTTCTCTAGCTATTTTGCATAATGTTTTGCTTCCGCCTGTATATTATATTAAAAGCATATACACTTGAGTCGTCTTTCACTTGGCCATTTTTTTCCGAACGCATGAACGTGACTGACGCATGGCTCTAGTAATTGAATGTTAAGGGAGTGATTAAATTGACTTCAAAACTTATTTTTGATCACGAGATTTACAACATAAGAATGTTCACTAGTACTGCGTTAGAGTGCCCACTGCATTTTAACTGTTGTTTTTATTTACTGCTTGAGGTCAAATAATCAAAATTCACGACCTCCAATATCACATGGATAACTATGAAACCCTCAAGAGTCAAGAAACCTTATAACATGCATGAACCAATAGAGGTGAATTCAATAATTATCTTACGCAAATTTATTGGTAAAGATATCTATTAATAATAGAATCATCTATATTTTGTTCACTACTTAAAAAAATATGCTAGAAGTCAGAGAAAAAGAATAATACGTTAGCATTTTGGGAGATTATAACACAATGCTTTTATTAGTGACATATTCGGAAGATATTTTAGTTTTAAATGATATTTCTTTTGATTCTTCAAAATTTCTACCATTTAAAAAAGATTTTCTTGAAAGGAGAAAAAGAAATATCAGACATCTTTCTTCCGGATCTTCATACTTGCAAGTTCACTCCTAAATCCTACGGCATTATAGAGCAAACATGATTTAAAAAAAAAAAATCAAAATCGAAAAGGGACATATATAGCCTATTTAAAAAAAAAAAATTACGTAATTTAAAGATAGTTCTGATGATAGATTTAAATATTTTATATATAGTGTTTCAATACTCTAAATTTTTATTTATATGTAAAAAATCATATTAGAAATTAATTTTCAAATAAAATATTCAAAGGAATTTATATATTTTATTTAATGTAAGATTAATCATTTTAAATAAGATGATATCTTTAAGTCATAAAATTCAATTTTAAATTTATGACAACATATTAAATTTAAAATAATGTTAATAAATTTTTTGGTTAACAACATACACTATACGGGTTTGAACCTAGATGATGTCACAAC